CACTAACGGATCTCATTAATTGGTGCTTTCAAAAACTTCTAAATTTAGTTTACATTCCAATTGACTAAATTGAGTGAAATTAATGAAGTTGATGATATTTTAGTTGAACCGATTGAATTGGTTGAATAAACGGAAATATGAAGAAACCGCATTTAAATATTTTGTTAATACAATAAAGAAACTCATATATAAAAATAGCTCAAATGATCCATATGGTAATTTCAGTCTATTGAGTCAGAAAAGTAGTTTCAACCTTACATGTTTTTATTATTAACACAATATAATGTCTGAAACCAATTAAGAGTTACATAATTCGTATTGGTAAAGATGTTGGTTGATAAGTATGATAAGCTAAAACTATAAATTATCAAATAGAGCCTGTTTGATAACACAAAAATTGTCTGAATCAATTGAATCTGATGGAATTTATGAAATTTTGACTGAATTAGTTGAATATGCTAAATTGTGAAATATATGTTAATAAAATATAGAAACAATTACATAACAAACTAGTGTTTTACCCGGGCGTTGTCCCGGGGTGCATATTGAGGTTTAGAGTTCCTATAGTATATAAATTCCTTCTAAATTACTGAATACAACTCATCTTGATTGTATGTTGAATTGATCTAATGGAGGGAGATGCATGGAGGCATAACCACAATTTTATTGGGCACAACACTTTAAACATTAATATGTGACTATCTATTTCATTGTAGAATAATATGTAACACTTTGAACATCAGTACACAATACAAATAGCGTAATGATGCATCATACAAAATTTTGCACAATAAGCACACTTTGTACCAGATCCGCCTCTTATACATATGTGTGTGTGTGTCTAGAAAGAGAGAGTGATTTTTCTCATACAACCAAATTGACCATAAGTGTCGTATGGCAGATGTCATTTGAGGGGCTTCCGAATGGAATTCTGTGATGAAATTTTGTGATCATGCTCTTCATGAACTATAGATTATCTCCACACAATTTCAACTCAATATTCAATTGGAAAGTCGATTAAATAAATTGTTAAAAACAATGTGTTATTTATGCATATTTTTGTGCAGTGCGTTTCAATAATTTATGCATATTTTTGTGCATTGCTCGGCCTCTTTCATTTAAGGTTCCTTTCAGTCCAGACTGACATATAGGGGCATTGCTCTATAAAATTATACGAAGTATAATTTTAGGTCTCTTTCATTTAAGGTGTTTCTGGGTTCAATTTTTTATAAAATTTTGTGAGCATGTTCTCCATTAAATGTAGACTATATCCACTAAATTTCATGTTTAAATTCAATCGCAAAGTGAGATAAATAAATTATTGAACAAATATGAGTTAAGAAATCCCGAAAATTAAAGGTAAGTATAAAGAATTGTTCTCAATGTTACCCCCAAAAGACTACATTTATACACAATTGAGGAGTAATATTTACATACTTGAAAGCACAAGAATTATATTTCAATGTGAGTACTATTTGAAGGATTGAGATTAAACTCCGATTTCTGCAAGAAGGAATAAAAAAATCACAAATTCACTTGGACAGTTGGACTCATCACATCGGAGTTTTCACCGAGAAACAAATACACTCATTGTTATCAATTTTTATTTGAAGTTCTCAATGGATGTTCAAATTAAAATTTATATATTTTCTAATAGTCTGTTAGGGATTAAAAATAGTTATATTTTATTCACAAAATAGTTTAATTCTAATAAATAAAATTGAAACTTCTTATTTGATGAGTGAATAAATAGTTTCTTATTTATAAATTGACCAAAGATGTATAAAAATTTGAAACTTGTTTTTCCAGCTATACACAAATTTTTATGAATTAGTAAAAAATTGACCCAAAATGTATGAATAGTCTCTAAAAACAATATACATAAGTATTCGGACTAATAAATGAGGATGCAAGTATTGGTTTAATGTTTGGCATTACAACGTAAAAATTGAACTTATATATGCAATTTGAATTTAATTATGATATTTATTGATATGATTATTGATACCAAAATATTAAAAGGTCATGAAACTCTTACCATTTTTAAGGCATGGAAAGGAATGAACGTGTGTGGTCAATCAATTTTTGTACTTCATAGCAATTACTTAATTTAATTGTACTCAATAGCAATTAATCAATTGACAAAATCGATTTGAATTTAAAGATTGTGTTTTATTAGTAGGTAAGTAGATAACTAAGTAATCATCTTCAATAATTTTTTCTGTCTGTAACAAATAAACGTAAAATGATACCGTTACGGTTTTATATATTCAAAAGGTTTGATATCCACTCGATCAGTTGTGAGTTAAAACTTTGGGTAACTAGTAATCTAGCATACTTTATAATTATTATATACTTGAAAAGGGCCGAAATCTCGAGTAACAATAAAACAAGTTTGTCGTTAATAACTACTAACAAAAGACGCACATGGATCCAACTAGATACAACCTGCTTTTTCAAATAAATTCCATTTGCTTAGTTAGGTGTTTGAAGTGTTACCATCACTTTGACAATTGGAATATAATCAAATAATTTTTAATTAGTATGTTGAGGCTACATCTTATATATAAATTTGGATTAATATAGTTAAGGTAAAAATTGCACAAATCTAAGCCAAATCAAATGCCCGCATGTACAATATATTCTAAAGAGTAAATTCCACTTTTGATCTTATGAGTGTTACACCAATTCCATAATTGGTTCATGTATGTAACTTTGACAACTTTTAATACATGATTATTATGTTTTTGGTCATGTATGATCTTTACGACAATGTTTCCGGTGGTTAAAATCGTCGGAAAAGGATCACAAATGTTCAAGAAACATTAGTCAAGTATCAAAGTAGACAAAGTAAAAGATACGAATTAAATGTAGAAATGACATAAAACTCGTAAGACTAAAAGTGGTATAAATTCATATTCTCAATAATTACTAAATTAACCTCCAAAAAAGGACACAGCACGCACTTCAGTGTTTGGTTGAAAGTAATTACATTTGAATGGACCAATGTAATTGACTACTTATAATGAAAATTGTCTCTATAGTGGCTCCATAATTGAGAAGTTCTTTAAGAATTGTCATTAAAGATTTTGAGAGATTTTCAAATGCGGTTCTTCGAATATCTATTCTTTCTCATCAAAATATTTCTCAAGCAATTTCATTATAAAACAAAATGAAACCTTGATTTGACCCTAACCAATCAGCGTATAAAACCGTATACACACATAGGTTTAATTTAAAAAAATCATATTGATTTATACAAAAATGAAAATTAACATATGATGTCTTTAATCAAACGAGATCAAACCTTGAAAATATTAGTCCGAGAACATTCATAAAACATTCTAGAGATGACACCTGGTTTTAAAATACGCTCACATAAATTAATTAAAACTTTCCATTAACAAAAGTGGGCATCTTTAAACGTCAATGTTTTGCAAACAAAATACTGTTTGCACTAGAACCTACCTATACACTAATATTTGATCCAAAACTGATGTTTTACATAAAAAAAAAAAGTGGTAGTTTACCTTATAGATGTGAAATCTTCATTTTGCATTGTTATGGTGCAGTTTTATGTTCAAATTTAACATTTTTGTGGTGGTGAAAACATTTACTTCATTACGAAATTATCACCAATTTTTTAACTCAATTTGTTCTAAAATTGTTATTTTTGGAGTTAATCTCATATTTGGTGAAAATCAATCTCAGTATTCAATAATCCAAAATCTATATTTTTATTAATGTTATGTATTGTGTATATATATATGTTGTGTATACACAAAAACAATTTCTTCCACTTTATGAAGTAGTAGTTGACTACGGAGTAGTTGATACTCTTTGATAAAAAAAGTGTTTCTAGAAAAGTAAAAATTGATAGTGTTGGCAAAAACAAATGCTTCTAGCTATTTTATGTATGAAATAATTACATACTAATTTATTACTCAAATATAGCTTGTTTACAAATGATTAGAGTAGTAATTAAATTATAGTAACTTATACTCCCTTTATGTAACTAATAGTCATATTTTTGTAAATATGTTTTATTTTGGTAATATTTGTGAAAAATCCCTTTATGCATCTTTCAACCTGCTTTCAACTTTTAGCTTTTAGACACTAAATTTAAGTAGAAATTACTACTTAAAAACACTCATTTAAACATTTTTAAGCCAAAAGCTGAAAACATTAATTTTTATTTTATTTTTTTAAAGGGGTTTTTACAAGAATATTACTAAAATGAAACTTATTTACATAAATATGACTATTCATTACTACAACGTGGTGTTGTAGTAACTTAAGTTCGATCAAAACTTGAACATGAATTACTATGATTTCATTACTACTCTAGTAACTAATCATATTTTTGTAAACCATCTTTATTTTGGTCATATTCATGTAATTATTTCTTTTTTAAAATGCTCTCCAAAAGCTAAAAGAGTGTTATTTGTGACACTCATATCTTGTTGTATGTTCTTCCATTTCAAGCGTATTATATCACGTAGGAAATATCATTTTGAGGTCTAAAACTATTGTTCAAACCTCATTTACAATGCATTAAGTAAAAGATACAGATTAACCTGAAATTCACAAACATTTCTGATTTCACTCTGAACTCGTGTAAATTTTGATTTGATCATATCTTGTTGTTTTTAGCTTCGTTTAAAGCGTTTTCTATCTTGTTGGAAAGATCTAATCGAGTTCTAAAACCCATTTTTAGGCGTTGGTTTCAAAATTTTACGGGATTATTACCTAATGAACCGAATTTCTAATCCAAGATTGTATCTACGCTAAAAAGGTTCAATTTACGCTGAAAACACTAAATCACATAGAACATACTTAATATTTATGACAATCATATCTTACTCTATGTTCTTCGATTTTAAGATTATTAGGGTGTTTTTCTTTGGAATGAAATTTGAGAATGAAAATCGTCCAAATAAAAACGTCCAAATAAAAACGTCTTTATATCTCGTTTGAAAAATCATTTTCAATACGGAGTATAAAGAAAACTTAACGCCACGTCTCCACCTGCTTTATTTCTACCACTGTTCGTCCCTTTTAAATCTCTGTTCTATTTTGGTATGTACACTCCTCTTCCCTGCTGGTTAAGTTTTAGACTACTCTTCTTTTCCATTTCACACAAGAATAAAAACACATGATATTCCACTCAATCCCCTCATTTCTAACCATATTTATTTTTATTCAAACATTCCTTCTATCAATATTAAATATATGCGTGTATAGACTTATAATATAATCCCTTCCCATATTATATTATATTATTATATATAAGTGTCATGCATGTTTGTGAGAAAATAGTGAAGGAGAGATAACCAGAATGGAAAAGTATGAGATTCTTAAGGACATTGGTTCTGGGAATTTTGGAGTTGCTAAGCTGGTGAAGGATAAGTTCAGTGGGGAGCTTTTGGCAGTCAAATATATTGAGAGGGGCCATATGGTATTTTTATATTTATATTCTATGAGCTTGTTTATAAGTTCTGCCATTAATTTTCTACTTATTGGAATCTGGGTTCATCTTTTGTCAATAGATTGATGAACATGTTCAGAGGGAAATCATGAACCATAGGTCCCTCAAGCATCCCAACATCATTAGGTTCAAAGAGGTAATTAATGAATTAGTTAATTAAGTAAGTACTTAACAATGTTCTTTATCAGAGTTTTTAAAATCATCGATTATCTTCCTTTTCAAGTATTTGGGCATTTCTTAATTGAAAGGTCAGGTCATTTTAATTGAAGAAATCTGGCCTTTTGGCAGTTGGGGGTGTATGAAAACATATACAGAGTAATTAATTCTACAGAAAGATAATTAGTATGAAATCCTTGGAGTGGATTTCTGAGATGAATAATCATGGATTTAAACGAAGCAGATGAACAATTTTTATAAAAATCGAAGTAATTAATTATATATTTAGCTTGAGTTTTTTTTTTATAGTGGTTGAGGTAATGGTGCAGGTGTTTCTGACACCGACTCATTTGGCCATAGTAATGGAATACGCTTCAGGTGGAGAGCTTTTCGATAGAATTTGCACTGCTGGAAGATTCAGTGAAGATGAGGTGCACTTAATTCTAACCTTTAACTTGTTCAGTTGTTCTTCATCATAGCATTAAGTTATCCCATTCTCAATATATATCAAGAATACAAAATCAGACCGGGGGGCGTAGCTCAACTGGTAGCGAGGGAGTGCCACAAGGGTTAGGTCTCGGGTTCGAATCCCGGCGATGAGGGGTTACTATGCTGAAAAATGCATAGGGCTTCTGCAAGTACTGGGGACAGAGTCCCACTCTCTATCTGTCAGATTGTGATTATAGTCCAATTTACATCCTTCCATCGTGTCGTCCGGTCGGTGTTGGGGGCTCTCAGAGATGGGGTGTCATCCTTTTTTTTTTTCAAGAATAGAAAATCAGAATTTTACTTATAGGTTACATCTATATCATAAGTTTATGTAGTAGTTACATTAAGAATCCGTTTGGTAACTCATATTTTAAGTTTATTGAGTTTGTGAGTCAACTTCTTTATTTAACGCGAAACTTTTGAATTTTTGATTTCACGCGTCAAATTATGTAATAATCAAAACTAACAGGTTGATGTTACTTTTCAGGTCGAATTGGCTCAACTTAAACTAAAAGACCATTTTAGTTATTTTTTCATATAACTATTTATTTATTTTATTAATAAATACGAGTATATTTTAAATATAATTTTTCTATTACTCAATCAATACTTTTTAGAAGATTCAGCCAATTTCAATCTTACCAAGCATGCTCTAAGTTGTCCTACAAAATGAACATATAAAATTTTGAATTACTTCTTCTACATAGCATGGAATCCACAACTCTTTGAGCCTTTTATAACATTAAAATTGGTTGAATATGTTGAGGGGGCCGAAATTGTTTAGGTTTGGCTGCATCCCCCAAATTATGAAAGAATATATGAAGTATGAAAATTTTATTTATTACTCTGTATTAAATAAGGAAAACACTTGTGGAAAAACTAAAATTCTCATATTCAACAAATTTATCCTGTAAGGTATTTCAAGCTTTAATTAGTGTTATTATTATGGAATTTATCATGCAAAACAATAATTGTGCTTTTTTTAATTGTTAACTGCTCTCATCTGCCAAATTCTATATTGCAGGCAAGATTTTTCTTCCAACAGCTGATATCAGGAGTTAGCTACTGCCACTCTATGGTACTTTGCTTCCCCATTCTAACAGTTTTTCTTCATGAGTTTCTGACTTTCTGTATGTTCTCAAGGACTTGAGGTGATATATGATTTCCTGGTTTGAATATTGTCTTGAGTGCAGCAAATTTGTCACAGAGATCTCAAGCTTGAAAACACACTCTTGGATGGAAGCTCTACGTCACGCCTCAAAATATGTGATTTTGGTTATTCAAAGGTAATCAACAATGTACATCCTCTAGCAAATACTACCTCTAGCCTAAAACCAAGCTTCTGCTTGACAAATCAAACAAAAGTAAACAAAAAGAAAGAGCCAAAATTGTCTATTGCAAGTTTTTTTTAATGGGAAAGAAAGATTCATTTTGAGATGCCTATGTTAAGAAAGTGACAGCTTATATTTTTAAGAAGAGGGATGTATAATTGTATATACCAAGACAGATGCCACATACACCAATGGATAAGTTAAAGACTTAATTAAACTAGTTGGTATGGTTGCTGATGTGATATCTTGGGCCATTTGTTGAGCTAAACAAAATTACATGAAGGATCATTTATCTTCATTTCACTAAAAAAATAAGGCTTGTACATTACATATTGTTACAATCATTTTATTCAACTAATGAGTTGAATAAACTTGATGTTTGGTTGAGCATCTTACTTATGAAAGTAAAAAAAAAAAAAGAACGGGCGCCGAATTATGTTTTCAGTGTTTCTATGTGAGCTGCTGACTGGTTTTTGATTCTTTAGTCTTCAGTTCTGCATTCTCAGCCCAAGTCCACAGTTGGAACGCCAGCATACATTGCTCCAGAAGTCTTCTCCAGAAAAGAGTATGATGGAAAGGTAAGACACTTGTGAACTATTTTTTGGTTTAACCTGATAATGCTGTTATCAATTAACTACCCAGAATTTAATAATTTATATGTTTAATATTCTACATATGCATAAATGGATAAAGATTGCAGATGTTTGGTCTTGTGGGGTTACACTATATGTGATGCTGGTTGGTGGTTATCCATTTGAAGACCATGAGGATCCTAGAAATTTCAAGAAAACCATCACAGTATTACATCAAACTGACTTTTCTTTCTTATTTTGATTTCATTAATGCTCTTCTTACGGACTTTTCGTTTTCTGTTGTTTTGGTGCAGAAGATACTAAGCGTACAATATTCAATCCCAAGCTATGTTAGAATATCTAAGGAGTGCAAACATCTCTTATCTCGGATATTCGTGGCTGATCCCGACGAGGTCAATTTCAAGCTTACCCCTTCTCTCATTTCTATACATAATTAAGGTCCTGGACAATTTTTAAGAACTTTGGCTATGTTTGGTAGCTAACTCTGGCTGAGTTGAATAAGTAAAGAACTATTGGCTGAATTAGTGAAATGAATCTTAAAAAAGGTAAAATCTTTAACAACAAAAACAGCAGCAAATTCACTCGAATAATCCTTACTAAACGAGCCGGTGATTTGAAATGTTTATGCAGAGAATAAGCATTGAGGAGATCAAGAAACATCCATGGTTTCTGAATAGCTTAGTGGAAGAAATCATGGATGATGCAGAGGAAGACAAAAGTGGAGAGCCAAATCACAACATTAATAATGGGGATGAAGGTGGGCAAAGTGTTGAAGAAGTGTTAGCCATAATAAAAGAAGCTCGAATGGCTACCGCAATGGACGGCCTCCTATTGACAGAAGGTGAGATGGATGAAATTGAGGAAATGGACTTTGATGCTGATATAGATGATGATATAGAGACAAGTGGGGAGTTTATATGTGCATTGTGAGCTAGCCTAAATCACTAATTCATGCCATTGTCAAGCCCAATCATTCTACCATGTAGTTTGGATTTGATCATTTTTACTTGAGAAGGGTAATTTTAGTAGAGTTGTTATATAATTGAATAAAATAATGTAACCCTTTGTCAAGAATATAATCCTTATTATGTGAATTTTAGAAGTTACAAAATAATTAACTTTGTCACTTTGATTGTTTCATTCAACATACTACGTATAATCAATTATAATGGGAATTCGAACAAGCTTCCTATGGTTTTTTGAGACTATATGGTTGTGGTGCTACCAATGAGTGCTTCCGTTGACTAGTTGAATTGTAATCGTCTATTCTTATACACCGGATGGATACAAATAATATTTTTGAAAAAAAAAATATACAGAATTTTTTACCTTAAGAATTATTTTTTAAATTTGGGGTGGGCTAGGGCCTATGTAGGTCTTCCCCTAGCTCCGCCCTTGTTCTCGATTCAGCCATTCAGGTATCATTAAAACAAATATGCTCATCCTTATAAAGAAAATCAATTTGGATTTTTGGGTGTCAAAAGTGACTGATATTTAAAAGGGAAAACTGTCAAATAGGTCCACCTATTATGGGTGGAAATCAATTGAATCCATGTGCTAAAATTTCAGCCAATTAGGTCCACATTCTTTCAAATAACGGTCAAATTTTAGAGGTTGTGAAATTATAGTATGCCACATAAGAAGCCACCCACATCTTCATTTGTTGGCCCTTGACCGGTTGATGACCTGCAATTCCAGGATTTTTCAATTTCCTTGCAAATCATTCAACCATAAATCTCACCTTTCACAAATCTTCTCCAAACGGTCCCACGTATCATTTTTCTTTTTTCTTTATTTTTAATTATACCGTACACCCGGTTGTACAAAGAGATTTTAAAGATCAGTTCATGAAACTAAGGAATTATGCAGAGGAATGTTTGAGGTCCATTCCAGATTCAACTGTGGTGATTCACACAAGCAGAGTTCTCCCAGAAGTTCCTTTTTTTTTTCAACGCATTTACATGTGTTTTGAGCTAGTTAGACGTGATTTTCTAGAAGGTTGTAGGAAGGTAATATGGTTGGACGGTTGCTTCTTGAAAGGACAACTCAAGGGTGAACTGCAGTTGTGAGGGATGGGAACAATCAGATGTTATCCATAGCTTGGGCGGTTGTTGAGATTGAGAACTCCTCATGGACATGGTTTTTAGACTTATTGAAGACTGACTTGCAGATTACTAGGCCACACTAATGGACTCTAATTAGTGATCAACAAAAGGTATTTTTAATACGGTGTATTATATGAAATATGAAATGTGAAATGTGAATTAGTATATTATAACTGTACAATATCACATAGTTTTCTTATACCAATCTATATTATATCAACAAAATGTATTTCTGTAATACATACATAGTTTTAGAAACTTATAGTACTGTGTATTGTCTAGTTACATGTATAATTATACTAACTATAAGTTTATAGTAACTATAACTTTATAACTTTACATGTGTAACATTATACTAACTGAATATGATCATAAGTTAGATAAGTTAAATGAAAGGTCTAGTCACATGAATACAGTCACATTCAAGCATAATAACTTCACATGAATACAATCATATGAAATCCATACAATCAAATGAATATTTTTAGATGTTATATGAAAGGTCTATACTCACATTGATTATAGACCATTGTACACACATTCAATCATTGAAAATCAGTTGAATGTTCAAAACAGTCTACATAGAAGCATACTTATATGATCACTAGTTTAGTAACGCGCGTTGCGCGTTCGTGGTAATGCTCAAGGCCATTGTAGACACATTCTAATATATTCACTCGATTTAGGTTGAGTGAATATATGAGTAATATGAATACAATATTTGAATACATAAGAAGTATGGTTTTAAGTAGTGAAATTCTATAGCTAAAAGATATAAAAAGATGCTTTAAGAGGGTTTCAAAGTGAACTAACCGCTCTTTAACACTTCTATTCACATCTATACAATCCGGTACCTCCCTGTTTACAGTTCATATATATCATGTGGTAAGGGGATGAGAAAATCAAATAGGTGGCCTCTTTTAAGAGGGTTTTGTAGCAGCTTGGCAGCACCTTTCTAAATACGCTAAACAAATACAACAATTTATACAAAAAAACCAAGTTAGTTGCAGTAGGCATATAAAACTTCGTATGATTAACTTAGTTGAGGTAAAAAAAACTAAGCAAATATTGGAGGTAATTGCTAAAAACAAAAACTTGAGTGTTGGACTATGCAGGTCATTCACTACTTTTGAAACTAAAATGCTTTCTTATTTACCTCCAATATTTAACAATTCAACAATTTATACAAAAAAAACCCAAGTTAGTTGCAGCAGACATATAAAACTTTGTATGATTAACTTAGTTGAGGTAAAAAAAAACTAAGCAAATATTGGAGGTAATTGCTAAAAACTGTAACCTGAGTGTTGGACTATGCAGGTCATTCACTACTTTTGAAACTACAATGCTTTCTTATTTATCTTATTTTTATATGAAAAATTCTTTATTTTGTGCTCTTCCAAATCTGTTCTTATTTATCTTATTAGGCTTGTGGTCAGTTTAGTGGATAGGTGGATATAATGTACGATCACCTAGTATGCAGATTCATCTTTTCATTTTTATAAAAATATCAAAATTATAACAAATAAATAAGTGTGAATCCACCAAAACCTTCCCCTACAAAGTTTACAAGCCCCTTCAAAACCCTAAAAAATATAATAACATAGTAATGATCATTACAAGTTAATTATATTTCTAAAATGGAAATATAATTAGTTTTTTAAAGAAAATAGAAGTCAAGTCTCAATAATTGCATAAAGTAGTTCGAACTTCGAAATAAGCATGCAACTTTGTGGTTGAACTTAGCCATGCAATTTATTTTTCCCAGTAAGTTCCCGGCAACAATACTTAAGAATATCTGCGGATAACAACACATAGCGGGTGGGGCTAAAGGCCTCTTCTTTTTCTTCTTCTTCTTCTTCTTCAATATATAGTTAAAAATAGAACAAATCCGGACATTGTAACCAAAGTTATTCCACAAAAATAATGTTTAAAAAAACAGTTTGATCAAAAGAAATATTCTGGTAAGGAATTTTAAATCAACGAACTTTAAGGGCTTTCCTATAAGGGTGGGTTTTCAGTGAAATCAGATTATGAAGCTTTGGACCGTCCCTTTCATTATCCTTTATTTGGTAGTCCAAACAGGGAGTTAAAGTTAATATCTTTCTAAATGTTGTTACATTTCAGGTTTTCATTTTTCAGTTGCAACTCATGGGTATTGTATAGTGGAAACGGAATGACTATGATATTAAGTACTTGTGAACAGTGGCGGAGCCAGGAGTTCGTGTCAGCGGTGTCAATTTAGCAAAACAATATTATATAATAATGTGTACATATATAAAGCAAAAAAGCAAATATTGTCATTAGTAAGATTAAAGTATTAATTCACAACTGTCCACGACGCGTTTTCATATTTTGAAAATGTTGTACAATTTTTTCGATGTCAACACTTTTGAATATATCTTTTTCAATAAAAATAATTAAAGCATCATTCATCATAGCATCCCCCATTCGATTGCGAAACATATTCTTCACGAACTTCGTGGCTGAGAAAGATCTTTCCACAGTTGCGGTGGCCACCGGTAAAAGCAAAGCTAATTTCACAAGTAAAAAAACTAATGGATACATAATACATAGTACCCGAGTATGTTTCTTTGTCTCCACCAATTTTTGAGCAAGAGAACCAACTTCTTAATATCTATAAATGCAGAGTTGGAGCGCACATCAAGAATAAAAGTTTCAAGTTGACTGTCAAGAGCAAGAACATCTACTGTGAAAAGTCAAAAGGATATAATCGAGCCATGCAAATCCACTTGTCCTTGTCAAAAGATGAAAAGTGTCTTTAGGACTAAGGCAAGCCACACAAAGAAGCAATTTTGTAGTAATCTCTGTGAATCGATTGTTCAACTCTTCGCGTTGTCTATCCACCACAACATAGAACAAGTCCACTTTGTAACGATGTAAGTTTGTGATTTGGATAACTTTGCGACGGACTCTCCCATGAGGTACATAAAAATCATTCATACTTGGAATTGAAATTTTATTCTTTTCACAAAAAGAAGAAACTTCACCAAAGAGAATATCTCATCCTCCGTCTCTTAAATTTTGCAATCGTTCTTTGGCAACTTTAACCAAGTCCATAGCATTAACAATATCTTGATCCTTTCTTTGCAAACATTTTGACAACTCATTTGTTATTCCAAGAACACTCTTTATCAAGTGTAAGGTGAAAACAAAATCAAAACATTGGACCAATTGCAAGAGGGTTTGAGCTTCAACTCGTTGTTCACAATTTGAACCATGTTCAGCCACATTCTCAAGCACATCAAGGATAGACGAAAACAAGATAATAATGTTGAGACACGTACCATAATGAGAACACCCCGTCGTGTATCACCGGCACGTTTGAGGCTACGCTCTTGATGTAATCCTTTTCCACTACAAATCTCATCATTATTTAATGCTTCAACAACTCTAATAGCTTGACCCACATTTTTTTAAATGTTGGATGGTGTCAATTTATAATTTATGAAAGATTATCTATACCTATATAGAAATTTTTTATTTTTCAGTGGTGTCAATTTTAATTTTTTTTTTATTTTTATATACCTACATATGGAAAAACAAAATTCCAGTGGTGTCAATTGACACCACTGACCAAAGGGTGGCTCCGCCACTGCTTGTGAAAGACTAATATTTAGCACAATTTGGTGGGTCTCATTAACTTTTCTGTCTCACAGCCTCAAGAACTTGCATTACCGTATTGGGCATTATTTAAACTTCAAACAATATTTACCAAAGCTCACAGTGAGCTAGAATCATAGAACTTTAAAAATATTAGCTAATCACCAATTATTTTTCACCGATTTGGAATTAAGTGTGCCAATGATGTGTTTGAAAAATGAGCAGAGGACACTCGCTTCATATTCTTTATTGTTCAGTAGCTCTTCAAAAACTCTATGTATATATCTAAGGAACAAAGAAGGAGCTTACGTGAAAAGAATTTAGTTAAACTAAGGCTAACAACTGCACATGACTCCTTATGTATGAATTCCTTTAAATTCAATTAGGAGACCACCTTTCCAACTCAACAACCAACTTAATCTTGCTAATTGTCAATGTTTTAGTCTCATT